GTGGTCACACACTTACAATTTGCAAATGACATCATCTTGTTTTGTAATGGGGAGGAAGGGGAATTACGGAACTTAAAGAGTTTAGTGCTTCAATTTGAAAGGAAGTCCAATCTTAAAGTGAACTGGGGAAAAAGTTGTGTGGCAGGGCTCAATCTAGGGGGAGAGGAGGTGGATTCCCCAACTAAGATTTTGGGGTGTGAAGTGGGGGGCTGGCCTTTACAATATTTGGGGCTACCACTGGGAGGGAATCCAATGGTTGAGAGTTTTTGGTACCCTGTAATTGAAAGATTCTCCAAGAGGTTAGCAAATTGGAAGAGGAATTACRTCTCTTTAGGGGGTAGGATAACCTTAATCAAGTCAACCTTAGCCAACCTGCCAGTTTATTTCCTGTTTACATTTAGAGTACCAATGAAAGTAGCTAACCAGTTAGAGAAGATTATGAGGGATTTCTTGTGGGAACCAGGGGATACTAACAAGGATCACTTAGTGAAGTGGGAGGTGGTTTCTAGGAGTAGGGATGATGGAGGCCTTGGGTTAGGAAATATAAGATTAAGAAACATGGCTTTGCTGGGGAAATGGATTTGGAGACTACCGATGGTACAGGACAGAATTTGGTCTAGAGTGTGTTAGTATTCTTGGATTGGCAGATAACGACTAGGATGCAGGACTCGACCCTGGGGCTTCTAAGTGTTCTCCTTGGAAAGCTATTCAAGGTATTTTGCCTTTTATGCTTCCTTATTTCAAATGATGTCTGCGCTGGAAATAAAGTCTTGTTTTGGGAAGATGTTTGGGTTGGTGAAAACTCCCTTAGAGATAGATTTCCTTCTATTTACTCCTTGTCTGAAAACAAAAGAAAAGTGATATCTTCAGTGTTTGTTGATAACTCTTGGGATTTGGGCTTGAGAAGAGGTCTAAGGGATTCTGAAATGGGGATGGTTGATGATTTGATCACTCAGTTAGGGGAAGTCTTTCTTGATCAACCCTGTAGAGATAGCAAAATTTGGAAACCTTCCCCTTCTGGTTTTTTCAATTGCTTTTCTTTCTATAACATTTTGCTTCAGGCCTCTAACCTTGTAGGGAACTTTCCTTCAAAGGAGGTGTGGGGTAGCCCTATACCCCCTAAAATTCAGGCCTTTTGATGGGAAGTGGTACTCCAAAAAATCAACACCTTAGATTTATTGCAGAAAAAGAGGCCAAATATGTGCCTCTCCCCCCATGTTTGTTGCCTCTGTTTGGGTTCTGGTGAGA